TCATAAAATGAGTTAGGGAGGATTCCCTCTTTTTATATTGTTTGGAATAGTTTCAGAAGGAATGGTACCAGCTCCTCTTTGTACCTCTGGTAGAATTCTGCTGTGAATCCATCTGGTCCTGGACTTTCTTCCTTTGGTAGGCTATTAATTACTGCCTCAATTTCAGAACTTGTTATTGGTCTATTCAGGGATTGAATTTGTTCCTGGTTTAGTCTTGGGAGGGCATATGTGTCCAGGAATTTATCTATTTCTTCTAGATTTTCTAATTTATTTGCATAGAGGTGTTTATAGTATTCTCTGATGGTAGTTTGTATTTCTGTGGGATATCAGTGGTGATATTTCCTTTATCATTTTTTATTGCGCTTATTTGATTCTTCTCTCTTTTCTTCTTTATTAGCCTGGCTAGCACTCTCTCTGTTTTGTTAATCTGTTCAAAGACCAGATCCTGGATTCATTGATTTTTTTTATGTCTCTATCTCCTTCAGTTCTGCTCTGGTCTTAGTTATTTCCTGTCGTCTGCTAGCTTTTGAATTTGTTTGCTCTTGCCTCTCTAGCTCTTTTAATTGTGATGTTAGGGTGTCAATTTTAGATCTTTGCAGCTTTCTCCTGTGGGCATTTAGTACTATAAATTTCCCTCTAAATACTGCTTTAGCTGCACTCCAGATATTCTGTTACATTATGTCTTTGTTCTCATTGTTTCAAAGAACTTATTTATTTCTGCCCTAATTTTGTTATTTACTCAGTAGTCATTCAGGAGCAGGTTGTTCAGTTTCCATGTAGTTGTGCAGTTTTGAGTGAGTTTCTGAATCCTGAGTTCTAATTTGATTGCACTGTGGTCTAAGAGACTGTTATGATTTCTGTTCTTTTGTGTTTGCTGAGGAGTGTTTTACTTCCAATTATGTGGTCAATTTTAGAAGAAGTGTTATGTGGTGCTGAGAATAATGTATATTCTGATGATTTGAGGTGGAGAGTTCTGTAGATGTCTATTAGGTCTGCTTGGTCTAGAGCTGAGTTCAAGTCCTGAATATCCTTGTTAATTTTCTGTCTTGTTGATCTGTCTAATATTGACAGTGGGGTGTAAAAGTCTGCCACTATTATTGTGTGGGAGTCTAAGTCTCTTTGTATGTCTCTAAGAACTTGCTTTATGAATCTGGGTGCTCCTGTATTGGGTGCATATATATTGAGGATAGTTAGCTTTTCTTGTTGCATTGATCTGTTTACCATTATGTAATGCCCTTCTTTCTCTTTTTTTTAATCTTCATTAGTTTAAAATCTGTTTTATCAGAGATTAGGATTGCAACCCCTGCTTCCCCCCCCCCCCAATTTGCTTGGTAAATATTCTTCCATCTCTTTATTTTGAGCCTGTGTGTGTCTTTGCACATGAGATGGGTCTCCTGAATACACCAATGGGTCTTGACTCTTTATCCAATTTGTTAGTCTGTGCCTTTTAACTGGGGCATTTAGCCCATTTACATTTAAGGTTAATATTATTATGTGTGAATTTGATCCTGTCATTATGATGCTAGCTGGTTATTTCATCCATTAGTTGATGCAGTTTCTTCATAGTGAGTCAATGGTCTTTACATCTCGGTTTGTTTTTGCGGAGGCTGGTACCGGTTTTTTCCATATTTAAATATTTAGTGCTTTCCATATTTAGTGCTTCTCATTCTGGGTTGAAAATTATTTTCTTTAAGAATGTTAAATATTGGCCCCCAGTCTCTTCTGGCTTGTAGGACTTCTGCAGGGAGATCCACTGTTAGTCTGATGGGCTTCCCTTTGCAGGTAGCCTGACCTTTCTCTCTGGTTGCCCTTAACATTTTTTCTTTCATTTCAACCTTGGTGAATGTGATGATTATGTGTCTTGGGGTTGCTCTTCTCGAGGAGTATCTTTGTGGTGTGCTCTGTATTTCCTGAATTTGAATGTCGGCCTGTCTTGCTAGGTTGGGAAAGTTCTCCTGGATAATATCCTGAAGTGTGTTTACCAACTTGGTTCTATTCTCCCTGTCACTTTCAGGTACACCAATCAAACATAGATTTGGTCTCTTCACAGAGTCCCATATTTCTTGGAGGCTTTGTTCATTCCTTTTCATTCTTTTTTCTGTAATCTTGTCTTCACACTTTATTTCATTAAGTTGATCTTCAATCTCTGATATCCTTTCTTCTGCTTGATTGGTTTGGCTATTGATATTTATGTATGTTTCATGAAGTTCTCATGCTGTGTTTTTTAGCTCCATCAGGTCATTTATGTTCTTCTCTGAACTGGTTATTCTGTTTAGTAGTTCCTCTAACCTTTTTTCAAGGTTCTTAGCTTCCTTGCATTGGGTTACTACACGCTACTTTAGCTTGGAGGAGTTTGTTATTACCCACCTTCTGAAGCCTACTTCTCTCAATTTGTCAAACTCATTCTCCATCTAGTTTTGTTCCCTTGCTGGCAAGAAGTTGTGATCCTTTGGAGGAGAAGAGGCATTCTGGTTTTTTGAAATTTTCAGTCTTTTTGTACTTTTTTTTTTTTTTTCCTCATCTTTGCGGATTTATCTACCTTTGGTCTTTGCTGTTGGTGACCTTTGGATGGAATTTTCCATGGTCGTCCTTTTTGTTGATGTTGATGCTATTCATTTCTGTTTGTTAGTTTTCTTCTAGAACAATCAGGCCCCTCTTCCGCAGTTCAACTGGAGTTTCCTGGGGATCCACTCCAGACTCTGTTTGCCTGGGTATCATCAGCAGAGGCTGCAGAACAGCAAAGATTGCTGCCTGCTCCTTCCTTTGGAAGCTTCATCCCAGAGGGTCACCTGCCAGATACCAGCCAGAGCTCTCCTGTATGAGGTGTCTGTCGACCCCTGCTGGGAGGTGTCTCCCTGTCAGGAAGCACGGGAGTCAGGGACCCACTTGACAAGGCAGACTGTCCCTTAGGATAGCTTGAGCTCTGTGCTGGGAGATTTGCTGCCCTCTTCAGAGCCAGCAGGTAGGAACGTTTACGTCTGCTGAAGCTGCACCCACAGCCACCCCTTCCCACAGGTGATCTGTCCCAGGGAGATGGGAGTTTTATCTATAAACCCCTGATTGAGGCTGATACCTTTCTTTTAGAGATGCCCCGCACAGAGGAGGAATGTAGAGAGGCAGTCTGGCTACAGTGGCTTTGCTGAGCTGCAGTGGGCTCTGCCCAGTCTGAACTTTCTGCATCTTTGTTTACACTGTGAGGGGACAAGGGGCTTACCCAAGCCTCAGTAATGGCGGATGCCCCTCCCCCCACCAAGCTGCACCTCCCAGGTTGACTTCAGACTGCTGTGCTAGCAGTGAGAATTTCAAGCCAGTAGATCTTAGCTTTCTGGGCTCCAGAGGGGTGGGATCCACTGAGCAAGACCACTCGGCACCCTGGCTTTAGCCCCCTTACCAGGGGAGTGAACAGTCTTGCTGGCATTCCAGGCGCCACTAGGATATGGATAAAAAAAAAACTGCTGCAGCTAGCTCAGTGTCTTCCCAAACGGCTGCCTGGTTTTGTGCTTGAAACCAGAGGCCTTGTGGCATAGGCACCTCAGGGAATTTCCTGCTCTGTGGGTTGTGAAGACCATGGGAAAAGCATAATACCTGGGCCAGACAGCACAGTCCCTCACGGCATGGTCCCTCATGGCTTTCCATGGCTATGGGAAGGAGTTCCCTGAACCCTTGCACTTCCTGGGTGAGGCGATGATGCCCCACCCTGCTTCTGCTCACCATCCGTGGGCTGCACCCGCTGTCTAATCAGTCCCACTGAGACGTACCAGGTACCTCACTTGGAAATGCGGAAATCACCCACCGTCTGCATTGGTCTCACTGGGAGCTGCAGACTGGAGCTGTTCCTATTTTGCCATCTTGCCTGGGAATCAACACTGATTTTCTTTATCATCATAGGGAGTTTAGAAGGTGTCAAGGGATAATACAAAGAATCTA